AGTATGGTGCCTTTTTGGTTTTTCAGTGTTACCAGTTAAAGTAGTAATGTTTAGATACCTGCCATTTGTTGGCTTCCCTAGCACATGTTTGTCTGGTGCAACACTGGTTTTCTAGAAACTTACCCCATAAGGCTATGTAATAAAGCAATTTACATGCAATGACATTTAACAATTTATAAATTGCCACTAACTTTCCACAAATCATTGTTAATGTAAATTTTATGCTATTTTAAATTTTGTTTTATGTTTTTCAAAGTTACATATGTACATAGTTTAAACTATCAAGTAGTCCTGCAAAACTTGTCAAAAACAAAAAACAACAGTCCCTTGTTCTGTAACTCCTTTCACAATTTTTCCAGTTCCCAGAAACACTTTCAATTCTTCTTTTAGCTGTTTCTTTCAGTATTCATGAAAAAGTATATCTCTAAATAACATGATTGTATTTCTACATCTTTATTTTTTTGTAGCTTCACATGTAATCTATTACTTTCCCACTATGGAAGCTGTAGATTTAGATCTCCTTTATGTCCCCAACCCTATCAACACAAATACACCATTTCTCAATATAGTTATATCATGGTTTTGATGTTTAATACTCTATTACACATATTTTAATAACTATGTAAACTAAGTTCATTCATGAATCATATCACATATAATTCTGTTTTCCCTAAGATTAATTGTCTTATTTTTCATTTGCTTGGTTTCCTTTGTTTCTCGTTTTGCTACAACCTTTGTCCCAGATGGTACAAATCTCTTTTCCCTATTACCTTAAGATTTCTTTTTGTCCCTGTTTTGATTTGGATCTCCTGTTTTTAATGTCTTTTCTACTTCATTTACTCCCTCATTTTGATGAACCATATTTACCACTAGCTTTGATCTTGTCTGTCTGAAAATGTTTTCATACTTTATTGACATTTGATTGATACGATGGCTAAATACAGAATTCTGGTTTGGAAATCTTTTTCTCTCATAATTTTTATGGTTATCTCCATTGTCTTTTTACTTCCAATGTTGAAGAGTTGAAAGACATTCTAATATTTGTTTATGTATTTTTCCTTTCTGGAAGTTTTTACAATTTACTATTTGTCCCAGAGTTTTGAAATTTATTATGATGTGCCTTGCTGTGGATGTATTTTCATTCACATAGCTAGGATTTCAGTGAACTCTTTAATCTAGAAATTCATGTTCTTTAATTCAGGAAATTTTCATGAATTACTTCTTTGATGATTTCTTTCCCTCTATTTTCTTCTCTCTGTTATTTGGATGTTGAACCTTCTGGACTAGTCTTCTAATTTTCTTATCCTTTCTCTCCTGTGTTCTTTCTCCTACTCTCTTAACTTGCTGGGAGACCTTCCTACCTTTATATTGAGGTTTTGATTTCTATCATAATTTTGTTGCCCAGCAACACTTTCTTATTCCTTAAATGTGCTCTCTTTTCTTTTTTAAGTAATCTGTTATTTCATGGATGCAGTTCTTCTTTTATCTTTTTGAAGACCATTTTTTGAAATTCTATTTCCCTGAATAGTTCTATACACCATTTGTTTGCTTTAGACTTCATCTTTCACTTTAGGGCTTTCCTCAAATGTCTAGTGTTTGCTGTCAGCTCATATTTAAGGTAGTGAGAATGGGAGATACCTACATAATACATAATTGGGGCTTAATAAGTGTGAATTCCCTAGAACAAACCATTCTGTTTTGTTGAGGAACTCCCAGTATCATTTTATTGAACACCTTTCTTTTTAGCCCAGTTATATGCACCAAAGAAGACTCTTCTGCTCTCCTGCCTATTCATTATAAAATGAGCTACTACCATTCTTCAAATCAAGAAGAACAGGACTTGGGAGTCTCAGTATTTAGCATATAAAACTTAATATTTAAATCTGTTTTCAGTAGAGTACTCTGTCCTTCAGAATTCTCCAAAATTGCCCAGTTTGGGAACCTCTGTTTTGCTAATTCTAAAGAATAAACAGTCTTCTGCTAGGATGAAAGAGGGAGAGGTACTTGTCCAGTTGTGAATGGAGAGAGGGAATGCAAGAGACTAATGCTTAAATAGACTTACAACCAAGCTTGTTCTTATTTCCACTTTTAACTCACTTCCGTAAATCTGGGTGCCACCTGTTCCTAAGTTTTTTGGAATTATGGTACAAATAAAATTGCTTCCTGTCTTTAACATACTGCTGGTTTAGAATTCAACTTGCTTAGGTTTGCTGAGTCAGTTAGATATGGCTTCTGGCTTCCAAATTTTGGTTACTATCATTCATCTTTCCCCTTTTCTTTCTTTGTTTATGCTTCTTAATAAAATATTTAACTATTGTATTTAGTGTGACTTTGAAAGGATATAAAGTTAAATGTGTATGTTCAGTCTACCATCTTTAACCAGAAATTAATATTGTTGATTATATTACCTACTGAATTGTTTCTTTTTGGCATTTGTTAAATTAAAGATAAATACCTTTGTTAAAAGGCAGTTTCTATTTCGAGAAAATGGGAAACTAGCATATCCAATACTTATACTCAGTCTCAGAGTAAGATTTCAGTAGATTGCTATTTTTGTATTATATGCTTTTATTATGACACAGACTTGCTTCCCTCACAGCATGTGGGATGTTTATTATTCCATCAAAGAGAACAATAATCAGGAGCCGTATGTATTACAGAGCTCAATCTGTTATAGTCAGGACATAGGACAAGATGATCAAATTCTCCAAATAAAAAAGTGGGCAACATAGTTTAAACTTTAGAGAAAGTGAGTAGGTCCACCAACATGGGCCAGACAATGTGCTATGTATGTTTCATTATCTTACTTAATATAAATATAAAATAATTTTTTATTATCATACTATGTTTTATGAATAAAGATGAAAAGACTCAAAGAAGTTAAAATATTTCCCCAAATTCATACTGCTAGTGGGGTGACAAAGGTAAAATTTGAACCCAGTATTCACTTAGTTCAAACTTAATACTCTTTGGAAGTGAGCATGTATAATAAAATCTGAAACTATGGGACTGCATTTAAGGTCTTCCAACCTTGAGGAGAAGTGAAAGAAAGGTTACTATCAGAAACTGTAACCAGAAAATTACACTACTTATTGTTTGTACATTTTTGTGCAATCATTGCATTGAATCTTTAAACAGCCCTATGAGCTGGCTATGTAAATTAAAATTTTATAGTTGCTTATGCCAAGTGTGTTGAACTATAGTTGCCTATATATAAAATTGACTTATCTCGCAAACCCCCTTTCCTGACACCCCACCCTCACTACCATTTCCACAGATAAAGGAAAACTTAATCTTACCAACTGGTAGTTGCTTGGCCACTTCCAAATTAAAATTCAACTTAGGTATTAAACTAAGATTCTTCCCCTACCCCTTATTCTCTCCTTCCCTTCTACTACTCTTATCCATTTTCAGGGGAGACTCATGTCATCCTGCCATCAATAGATGAGTAAGGGTTTTCACATTCTTGTCTCTGCTTGCTGAGTTACTGCTTGGCCTTTGGTAGTCAAGCACCATGTGCCAGCCATCCACCAAGACATAGTTCTTCTTCATTGACCTTTTGAGTTCATATACTGTATCTACTGCCATGGTACTTGCCATGGTCTCCATTTGTAAGGGCCATGTATTGTTCAAACCCATTTCCTTTATGTTTGCCAGCTCAGACTGAGCCACTTTTGCACCCCTCTCATGGGCACAGGCTTTAATAACTTTTCAGATACTCTGCCACAATATACTGGCATGTTTAGAATCCAAAGATATCTTCCAGACCCTTCACCTTACTATCCTTCAGACCTCTTAGGTACCTTGCTCAGTCACTGTCTTTGGTACTGTACACTCAGACACCTCAATGTTCTTTTCTGCCGGATGGCGTGTATCTTGTTTCCTTTGCCTCTGTTATATCCTCTTGCATTATTTTTTACTCTGTAATTTTTATGGCATAAGCTTCATAATAATGTACAATAAAACAGCTCTATATATACCAAAATGATCAGTTGACAAAACATTACATGAAAGCAATGTATAGAACAGAATGTGTAACCTGCTCCATTTCCGTAAATACATGTGTAGATATAGCAAAGCATTAAGCATTCTTGGAAGAATATATGACTCTGGTAACAAGGGTTACCTCTGGGGATTGCCTCTGGGGAGGGAAAACATGTCTGGGGGACAAAAGTAGAAGAAAAATGTTCTTGGAATGAATACTTTATTGGTGATGCTCTGCCTTCTCAAGGTATCATCCTATCAAGAGTAAGAGGAAATTGGTAACACAGTAGACAAGAACATTGCTGTGATTTGATAGAAGGTCCAGTTTGAGTTTTTCAATCCTTGTTGATTTAATTTTATGCTAACCGGATAATTTCTAACTGGCTTGGTACTTAAATAGACCAGATATCAGTAAATGATATATAATTCAATCCATTGGCAATCATTTCAGACAAACAAAAATTTCTCTTTAAAATTGATCAGTTTCTTGTGAGTTTGTTTATGACAGTTTGAGTTGCTGATCAAATCAGTTCTCTGACATGCAACTCTGAGGGCCAGGTGGTAATAATGTCTACCTCACAGCATTGAAGTGAGAATTACCTAAAATGTTAACAGAAGTAAAATGTCATTTACTTCAGTGACAGTTACTTCATTAATATGTCCTGTGAAGGGTCTCAATTAATATAATTAACCAAACTCCAGTATTTCTTTTTTTAAAACTCATGTGTAGCATATATGATTGTGTCCAGCACTGCTGTAAGTACTTTATGAATATTAATCTTTATAATGACCCTTCCAAGTGGGTGCTGTTACTATCCCCATTTATAGATGAGGAAACTGAGACATAGAGAAAATAAGTAACTTTCTCAAGATCATACAGCAAGTAAGTGGTAGTATTTCCAACTGTTTACCCATGAGACCCCACTTGAAAATAGGCAGTTTTTCCATTTCATTTTTCCTTTTCATTCAGTTGCTCCTTCATGAATAAATGTGTGTGTCTGTGTTATTTCTGTTACAGAAAGAAGAGGGACTCCCTTATAGGGATTCATAAAGACATAGAGCATCTAGAGATTTACTGCCTCCATTACGCTGCTGGGTCTCACAGCACTTGTTATGTTTTTATCAGTTTCTCTCCAGAAGGTAGGAATTGTGTTTTCTTTCCATCAATTCTTTATATAATTATAGTTTTCTTGTATGTGGACTTAATTTTTATTAAATATGAAATACATCTGACATCTATAGATTAAAATGCCAGGTATCTCCAAACAGTTAAGACATAGAAACACATTGCCTCTAAAAAATATTTCTATTATGAGATTAATAGATGTTCATTGTGAAAAAAAAAAAAAGAAAACATAATACAGAAAAGTATAGTAATCCTACCACCTTGTGATAACTATTCTTTATATGTTGTTGTATGTCTTTCTGAGTTTCTTAACATATATGTATAGGTGCATAATATGTGTATCTATACAATTACTATGATTATGGCTAGAAACAATAGAAGAGACTCTTTGGCTACACTACTTCTTTTACTTGGCAATTTACTGCAGAATTTTTCATGTCAGTAAACATCATCCACATTACCATTGTTAATAATAATAATTGCAAAATAAATTCTAGTTCAAGTGTATAACACAATTTATATAACCATTCTCCAATTATTGAGTATTTGAGATGTTTCGCTGTGGTTAACATGACTTCAGTGAATATCCTTGTATATACATCTTTGTACTTCTATCTAATGATATTTTTAGGACAATTTCCAAAAATAACTTTTGCATAACCTTAGTTCCTAAGCATGTTCTCTGATAAAAGGGTTGTATGACCTATCATGTAAGGAAACACTATTATTCGCTATCTTGGAAAATACCAGTGTATAATAATATACTAAGATCTTAGAAATCAAACTTATGTGACCATAGAATCTTTTTTTGAAATAACATCTCTGTCTATGGGATGTTGATATTTAGAATAGTACATAGGAGAGAGGGATATGGGAAATCTACTATTCTGCTGTGAGTCTAAAATTTTTCTAAAAGATAATGCTTTATTTTTACAAGAGCAAGAGAAAAAATTTAATGTAATTGTATACATTTACAATTATAATTAAATTCAGACTTACATGTACACACACACACACACACACACACACACACACACACACTAAATAACATCTGTCAACATCTCATTGACTACTTTGGAAAATGCTAGCATATGGTATGTTCTTAAAAATGGAATTGGTGGATCAAAGGGTGAATATATTGAAAAGCTCTACAAATTTGCATTTCCACCAACAATGTCTGAGAATGCCACTTTATATTTTTGTCATTTGGTATTAACTGCTTTTGTTTTTAAATCTGAAATGAGAAAAGTATATTGCACGTTAATGTTCATTTATGTGATTACTAGTGGGATGAATTCATTTTATATTTTTATTTTTCCTTTATATATCTGAATATCTCACCCATTCCAAATTTTTCTTGGAATTGTTGATTTTTTTTGATTGATAAGAATAAGAATCATATTTAGAGTGTTAACACTGTAAATCACATGTGATACAATTGTATCCTTCGATTTTTTCATCTTTTTTTATGTTTTAAGATGCTGTATTTCTGTGCTTTATTTTTGACATGTAAGTTTAGCATTTCTATGAAGTTAAATCTCTCACTCATCTTCATGGCTTCTGGTTTTGGTGTGTGTCTGTACACTGGCTTTTTTTTTTTAACTGCTTATAATGAGCAGTTTCAAACACAGATTTGACAGAACAGTTTAATGAACCTCCATGTCTCCATGTACCTTGTCTGGTTTCAATAATTAAAAACTCATGTCTAATCTTGTTTCATTTATACTTCCTGCATTATTTTGAAGCAAACCCAGACATTAAATCCTTTCATCTCTTAATAGTTCAGTATGTACACTGACTTTAAAGATAATTTTACCTAACCTGTATTTTACATCTTGCATAGTTTGCCTTACTGAAATCATTGGCTTCCACTACAACATACTTAAATAAATGTTATACCAAAAATCAGCATTAGCTAAGATTAGTGTTGTATAACTTAAGGTTTTAAAACAGCTCCTATACGAATACTTGTAACAAAAAAATGTGTTGCTCATCTCATAGATTAAATATGCATATCTGTATGGCCCATACTTTTTTATTACTAAAGTCATGTCTTAATAAAAAACTTCCATTTCCTATTTCACTAAGGTTCTACCTTACTAGAAGCTATAACTCTTTTTATACCATGATATAATTTCATTTTTTTTTGTCTTTAGAAGGTACTGTCATAAATTCTGGATCATATTACTGTGTTGATAGTGACTTTCCCAACTCTTTTGAGTATAACTTTACATATGCCACTCCAGAAATGGCACAGGTTTTTAAAAAATCCTTGGGGATTAGAACACAAAGTTTTACATGGTATATATGATTAATATCTGATTAGCTTTTAAGGTAGGATTACATAAATAAGCAATAACTTCTTAGGGTCTTCTGTAGGGTTTCATAGTGAATGTAATACCTCATCATAGGAAATTAGGAAAATATCCCATGATTACTAATGCTTGAAAGAGTACAGAATGTCATCAGATGTGGTTCTTATTCAAAGAAGAAGGGTATGAAAACAGTCTCAACTAGAAATAGAATTGTCGATAGATGTTAAAAGCAAAGAAAGAAAATGTTTGAACCTCCGTCAGACCTAAGTAAAATTGTCGAAGTGTTTATAGTTAAGAGAGACCTTTGGATTAATATTGTCCGATCATTTCATTTTATGAATGAGTACCAAAAGAGAGAGTTTAACCCTTTTGTCCAAAGTCACACAAATGTTTTTTTCTTGTTTTCTCAGAAGACATTTAAGAAGTAAATAAAAGGTTCTAAAAAGTTATCATTACTAACAATAACTAACAATTACTGAGTGCTTACTATGTACAGATAATTGATTGAAGACTTTGAATCTTCTATCTCATTTAATCCTCACAATATACTTTGAGATTAGAATTGCTATTATCCCCTTTATAAAAGTAAGGAATCTGATTCTAACCCAGGCAGTCAAAGACACCCAGCCCTCACTCCTAATAGTGCTTCTTAAAAGAGGAGTCTCTTGTGTTATAATTAGTAAGAAACTGTCTTTCACTGTCAACTAAAGCAGACAGAGTTACTGGAAGAATAGAGAGAGGATTGTAATGGTCAATCCTAGAAATGAATCAAGAGTGCAAAGTTTTGGCAAGACAGATCCAAGAAATAATGTTTTTTACATTCTAAGTAAAAAAAATAGGAAGGTCTAATTAGAGAAATTTGTGGCATAACACTAGCTTATTCTTTGATTTAGAGATCTAGCATCCCTCAATTCATTTTTGCATTTATAAAAATTATTTTCATTTTTCAAATAAAAGATGGCTTATAAAAACAATCTTACAAAATTCTACATTAAGTACACTTCTCCATTATCACTGCTTTTTCATATTTCCTTTATGATTTTATATATCCAGTTGCATGTACTATGAAATGTAGTCCTTAACCATTTTTGTTATTAATATATTTTTTATAAATTATTAAAGAAAGCAACACGCAAAACAGATTGATTTTGCTGTAGGGTTTTTTTTTGTTTTTTAAAGCTAAGATTGCATTTTTTTAAATTAATGTATCATTGATACACACTCTTATGAAGGTTTCACATGAAAAACACTGTGGCTACTATATTCACCCATATTATCAAGTCCACCCCATATGCCATTGCAGTCACTGTCCATCAGTGTAGTAGGATGCCACAGAGTCACTACTTGTCTTCTCTGTGCTTCACTGTCTACCCTGTGACCCCACCTACACCATGTATACTAATCATAAAACCCCTCAATCCCTTTCTCCTTTCTTCCCACCCACCCTCTCCCACCCCTCCCTTTTGGTAACCACTAGTCCCTTCTTGGAGTCTGTAAAATTGCTACTCTTTCGTTCTTTCAGTTTTGCTTCATGTTACACTCCAAAAATGAGGGAAATCATTTGGTACATGACTTTCTCCACCTGGCTTATTTCAGTGAGCATAATGTCATCCAGCTCCATCCCTGTTTTTGCAAATGGTAGGATTTGTTTTCTTCTTACAGCTGAATAGTATTCCATTGTATATATGTACCACCTCTTCTCTATCCATTCATTTACTGATGGACACTTAGGTTGCTTCCATATCTTGACTACTGTAAATAGTGCCGCAGTAAACATAGAGGTGTATATGTCTTTTTAATCTGAGAATTTGTTTTTCTTTGGGTAAATTCCTAGCAGTGAAAATCCTGGGTCAAATGGTATTTCTATTTTTAGTTTTTTGAGAAACCTCCATATTGCTTTCCACATGGTTGGACTAATTTAGATTCCCACCAGTAGCAAAGGACCATACCCCTTTCTCTGCAACCTTGCAAGCATTTGTTTCTAGTCTTTTCAGTGTTGGCCATTCCAACTGGTGTGAGGTGATATCTCATTATGGTTTCAATTTGTATTTCCCTGATAATTTGCAGTGTGGAGTATGTTTTCATGTGCCTGTTGGCCATCTGAATTTCTTTGGAGAATTCTCTGTTCATATCATACCCCTATTTTTTAATTGGGTTATTTGCTTTTTGGGTGTTGCAGCATGAGTTCTATATATATTTTGAATGTTAACCCCTTGTCGGATATGTCATTTACAAATATATTCTCCCATACTGTAGGATGCCTTTTTGTTCTACTCTTGGTATCCTTTGCTGTACAGAAGCTTTTTAGCTTGATGTAGTCTCATTTGTTCATCTGTGCTTTTGTTTCCCTTGCCAAAGGAGATGCATTCAAGAAAAAGTTACTCATGTTTATGTTCAAGAGATTTTTGCCTATGTTTTCTTCTAAGAGTTCTAATGTTTCATGACTTGCATTCATGTCTCTGATACATTTCAAATTTACTTTTTTATACAGAGTTAGATAATAATCCAGTTTCATTCTCTTACATCTAGCTAGCTGTCCAGTTTTCCCAACACCAGTTGTTGAAGAGGCTGTCATTTCCCCATTGTTTATCCATGGCTACTTTATCATATATTAATTGACCATATATGCTTGGGTTTATATCTGGGCTCTCTAGTCTGATCCATTGATCTATGGTTCTGTTCTTGTGCCAGTACCAAAT